CTTGCACTCAAGTGTACTAACTCTGGCGGAACTAGCATTTTATATGCAAGTCAAAGGGAATGGGAAGAAAGTGGGAAAAGAACACTGAAAAAAAAACACTGTTTTCTCCTCCACAGATGCTGCCAGACCTGCTGAGCTTTTCCAGCAACTTTGTTTTTGTTCCTGATTTACAGCATCCGCAGTTCTTTTGGTTTTGAAGGGATATGTGCCCTGTTCCTGCTATGTTTCTGTACAGTTCTAACATATCTTCCCTGCTCTTCAAGTCCGTATCTCAGCCAATAAAACAAGATCCGATGCACCTATTAAATTACCATATCTACCTGTCCTGTTACTTTCAGGGATCTGTGGACATGCTGTCTAAGACTTTTCAACATTTCTCAGAATCCTCCCATTTACTGCATATTCCTTTGTCTTGTATTACCTCTCCCAGTGCATCCCTTTACATTCCTTGGGTTTGAGATCCATTTGCCACTTGTCAGCCCACCTCACAGCTAATTTCAAAGGAATTTCTCCAGATTTTGTGGCTTTTTTGTGCTCCCCATGCTTTCTTCACCTGGCTGCAGATGTGCTCCTGAGCTGGAAAGTGATTTCAGCGCCTCACTAATGAGTTGAATATTAACAGGACTACTGGATGGGATTTAATGCACTCCCATGACGATTTCATAGAGGGGGGGGCATGTGCATTTTAATTTGGCAGGAGGGTGTCCCACAGAGCTACAGCTTACACCTATAGGCATAATTCTACCATAGCACAATCCTTTCCTGTATAACACTCATAGCCATTCAGTCCTCACAGCAGGAGATCCTTTTAACGTTAGTCAAATGTACCGTCAGAAAAATGAGCACAATTAATTGACCAAGCAAAGTGCTGTTCATCAGCAGATGCAATAACCACACTGTCTCACAGCAGAAAGATATTAAATGGAACGCACATTACGATGTGCTGTAGCTAATATTGGCCATTACTTTTGATAATAAAAGAGAAGATTAATACCACTTATAATGATTTAGGAGCCATCAAAGATTGTGCCGAAAGTTTGGGCCAGGAATACTGGACTAAACAGTGTGGACTCTGATAATGACTGTTGTAAAATGTAAGATTAGAATCACCAAATCAGAATGTTACAGCACAAGACACCATTCAACCCATCATGCTGTTTGAAAGCATCGTCCTATCATCCCATTCCCTTGCTCTTTGCTCATCTTAGGGGGCCATTTGGCTTGGATGGCTGGTTCGTGATGTAGAGCGACACCAACAGCATGGGCTCAATTCTGCACTCTGGCTGGGATTACCGGGAAGGGCTTTCCTCGACCTCTCCCCTCGCCTGAGGTGTGCTGACCCTCCGATTAAACCACAAACTGCCATCTCTCTCTCTCATGAAAGAGCGGGACTATGTTGACATTAACTTTTACCTTCATTTCCCTGCAATTTGTTTTTGTTTTTTTTAAGTCAAGATCCAACAAATCTCTAATTATTTGTAATTCTTAGGGTTTTGCCTATTTCTAATTTGAAACAATTGGATGGCATTTCAATGCCACAGATCTGCTGCTTGTGACATCCTTCAAACACATTCATCACTCTCTGGCAGAAGAAATTTTTCCTTCTCTCAGTCTTAAATGGGAAATCCTTACTTTGGTCCTAGAATCTCCCACAAAGGTAAACAAACTCTCTGTATCTACAATGTCAAGTGTTTGAAGAACCTTACATGTTTCAATAAGATCTCCTCTAATTCTTTTAAATACCAATGAGACCGAAGGGTCTGTTTCCATGCTGTATAACTCTACGACCCTATAAGTACCGACTAAACCTACTTAACTTCTCCTCATAAAGAAATCCCTCCATACCCAGAATTAATCTTGTAAACGTTCTCTGGACTGTCTCAACTTAAGATTAGTGCCAAAACTGCTAACAGTATTCTAGGTGTGGTCTAACTAGAGCCTTGTATAGCTTGAGCAATACCTCCCTACCTTTGTACTCCCTGCCCTTGAAATCAAAGCCAATATTCTATTTGCCGCCCCTGTTAGCCGCTGAACTTGGGTGTTAGCTTTTTGTGACTAATGCAAGAAGACCACCAAACCCCGCCATACTGAAGCTTGCTGCAGTCTTTTTCCCCAAGGGTCGTGGCTGTTCAAGAAGGCACTTCACCACCAACTTCACAAGGGTATTCTGGATTGGGCAACAAAGGGGCTGATTTAGCAAGCGACACTAACATCCCATGAAGCAATAATTAGAAAAATGTATGAAATATGGTGGCCAATTTGCACGCAGCAAATGACAATTAAGTAATTGACAAAAGAAGGGGGGCTCAAAAAACGAACCACTATTGGGAGCACAAACGGGTGCATCACCAAACCTGAAGGCCAGATTTGTGACACTCAATATTCTAAACGTGGTGCAAGAGCCCTCTTATGGCACAGTGGTAGTGTCCGTACCCATGGCCTGGAGGCCCAGGTTCAAGTCCTATCTGCTCTAGAGGTGTTTAAAAGCATCTCTAAACAGGTGGGTTAGGAAGTATCTAAGTCTGATTCAAATTCTGTTAAAATAATCTCTTTCAACACCTTTTAAGACTCATCCCAATACCTCATTAGTTTGGCTAACAACCACTGATTAATTTTATTGATGACTTTGAATTAGGCAGATATTTGTGGACACTCATTGACCCTCTATAGCATCAGTGAAACACAGAGCTTCTTTCACCATATTAAAATAATTACAAGTTTATTTATTTGTTTATATTCAAAATACATATTAAACATATATTTACTGTATAATTTTAATGTAATTATGATTTTACAAAATATATCACAAACTGTACACTTCATGACATATTAATCCATATATTCTCCATCTGTGAGTGTCATACACGATGCAGTGATTGGTCAGACTCACAACAGGAAGTTCACACCACGTTACCCCATCAACAGTGCGTCAATCACAATGGGATAAGACAGCAGCAGAATGAACCAGAACATTTCAATTTCAACATTTTAGCTCACATTTACTTCAAAATAGTTACACAGTGCTAATCAGCGGCATACGAGTAATGCACAGTCTTTACTCTTTTACAATATTTACTATTGGTGTTGGTACATCTATCTGCATTACCACTAGATTATAGTCACAAAAATGTATCGCAGCACACTGCAAGTGTGTTAAGAAACCGTCGCTAAATGGTGTCTCCTTTTTATTCAGTCCAAATATAATTTTTACTTCTCCCAAAGTGTTTTTTTAAAACAACCATTTCTTGTTGACAACATTGGGCAGAGTGTTAGAAAGGCCCCTGACAACAGGGACACCAGGACAATTCTTTTGTTTATAAAAATGCTCTGGAAAAATCTTGTGCAGATTTTAAAAAAAAACTTTGCAACAGAACAGTTTATCACATGTACACCATTGATATGTGAAAATGCTAGGTTGAAACACACTAATTAAACTTGCATATCTCCTGCTTAGCATATCCAATCCTTACTGGTCATTGTATCAGAATGAGCAAAAGTATTTTTTCGCCAAGCTTGCAATTGCATCAAGTCTTTATGTTTTGCAGTTTTAGTTTTGTGGCGTTAAATTCAGGCGCTGACTAAATTTTAAAGCAGTTTGCAATTTTAACACATCCATTTTGAAAAATGGAAGTGTTAAAATTGCAAACTGTTTTAAAATTGGACGAATCCCTTTCACTCTGGCAAAGTTAAAGGATCCCTCCAATTTTGCCTTGAAACTATGGGAGGTTATAACTTTATAGCCCATGATTTTATTTCTTTAAAACTATCATTTGTGTCCATTCTTGGACAGATTATGATTAGAACCATCTCTAATCAAAGCCTTCAGAGAATTAAGCAATTGCCAAGACCTGATCTAGACAATTAAACAGGAATCAAAAAGTTTTAATTAAAGCAGATGTATCTGTGTAATTCAATCAACATTAGAAATGCTCAGGCTTAGGGTGCATTACTCAAAGATACTGGGGTTAGAGCTCTTACTGATTGCCGCGATTACTATTTAGAACTTTTTACATCAATGACACACAAATGTTAGATTCATGAGCTTTTTTGCATGTCTTTTAACTCATATAGCATCACAGCGAAGAGGATGCAGCTGTTTCTATCACTACTAAATAAACTGAGCCTGAAAGTGTGGCAGAGCTGGGTTCAATTGAAGCACTCAGAGGGCATTAGATGATTATTTAAATCAAAACAATTTGCAGAGATATGGGGAAGGAGCAGCAGAATGGCACTCAGTCATGATGCACACTCGGGGAGCCAATGAACAAATGATGGGCCAAATGGCTTTCTTCTGTGATTCTGTGAGGCACTTAAGATGCTATAAGCTTTGAAAATGACATTGATATAAAGGGCTAATGGATTGCATTTACTGATTGTCATTACTGACAGCTGACTTCTAATGTGGGCGTTGTGATTGGTGATTAAGTTAGTGACAGGACTTAGTGAGTGGACGTCAGAAGTCTTTTGCAAGAAATCTGCAATGGGGCTGGTGCCGAATCCTGAAAACCACTTCCTACCCACCAGTGTGCAGAACACTCCAGAGAAATTCCAAGGGACATCAGAAGTAGACTGTTGGGATGTTAACCTGCATCTTAAACATAGTGGCTGCAAGCTGCCAGCTTCCAGTGCCAGATAAGAAGGACACTCTCCTGGTTCCCAGGTAACTGCCTGTGTCATGGCAACAGACTTTGCAGCTTATGTTTGTCATCAAGTACCTCAATTGCAGTATAGCCCCGGCTGTTCTCTTTTCATATTCATACTTCAAAATCGTTCACATCTGAGTCTCAGCTTCTAAGGGTTACCCCACAGGTTTTATTCTCTACAAAGTACAAAGTCTGTCTTTTTAGAGTGGATCCTTAAAAGGACCTCATCACAATGACAGGTTTAGGCTGGTCTTCCAACAAGAATGAGAGATCAAGGGGCGAACTAGTCGAGGAGGTTTAAAATGATTAATGAGGTTAATACAGCAGAAACTCTATTCCTCTAGTTGTGCTGGGGGTTTTGGGGGTGGGGGTTTTGGGGGTGGGGGGGGGAGGGTGGAGATATAAATCAAAGGGCCATGGGCTCAAAGCGCAGGCCATTTAGCTTCTTCACACAAAGGGGAATGGAAATTTGGAACTCTGTCTCCCCTCTCCCCTCCGAAAGCTGATAAGGCTTGGCACCAATTGAAAAAAACGTCAAGACTAGGATCGGTGGATTTTTTTTACGAGAGGAATTCTGGATGCTGAAAGTACTAGGAATAATCAGCAGGTCAAGCAGCATCTTTGGGGATAGGACACTTCAGATCTGTAGCCTAATGGCACAACCATTTGATCAGAATTCTTCACCAAGACGGGCAAATAGGTGTAAGGTACAGGTAAACCACTATCAAACTGAATGAGCGAGACAGGCTAGGGGGGTTGAATGGTCTCCTTGTATTCCCAGTTTCCTAATCAAAGGATTTTCAGCAAAGGGTAATCTCCATCACTGACACTTTCACATGATAGTGATCACTTGTAGCTCTTTGCAGAGTATGTGGACCATCAGCTCTGTGCAATCATTTGACAGTGTTGTGGGCTTCAATTACACTATCAATAAGACAGACAATTCCAGATGCCCTCCAGCAACAATCCAGAGATATTCGCCTTGGACAAGCAGCATTTCTACGGTGTGGGTGGCAGTTTTGGAGATGGGCAGGATCCTTGGCTGTCAAAGCTGGTCGCTCGACCTGGTGCCTGTAACAGAATCATTTCAGAATTACTCCAAAAGCCAACACCTGTGATTCTGCTTTTATCTATAGAGAACTTGTAATTGTATAAACGATGGTGACACATTTCACAATATTTTACATTCAAAGTCTAGTCACTGTTTTTCGAGTAGGGAAGCACGGGAACCAGTTTTCACCCAGGAAGATCCAACAGACCATGGGAAACCAAAGAGGGGATTATGGGTATCTTTGGTAAAGTTAATTGAGCATCATTCCCATCACCTGAGTGCGCAAATTGGGCCTCAATGTATTTCACCCAGCAAAGAGGCTCTCTGAAGTACAGCAATTCCTCGGCGCCGACCCTCCGACGGCACGGTGCTCCCTCGGCGCTGACCCTCCGAAAGCACGGCGCTCCCTTGGCACTGGTACAGTGTTATGTTGTCATTGGGTCAGTATGGAGGAAGCACTACATGGTCGGAGGGTTTCAAAAGACATTTAATGGAATTTTTACGCCTTAAGCTGTGTAAAAAGCTAAGGGTATAGACTGGGAAAGTCACAAGTGAGTTTCTAGCTGTCGGGAATTGTAGCTATTTGATATTGTTTTGGAGTTGGGCTGGGATGTCAAGTCTGCAGATGTAAGTTGTACCCATTCAGCCTTTGGCAACTCCCTCTGAAAGCCCTTCAGGGTGTGTGAAAGTGGAAAAAAAAACAGAAAAAGGGGCTGCTGGAACATTTCCTCTCAACAGCTCCTGAACATATTGCTTCTGAGGAAATCCTGTTGGCAGTGTCATGTATGACCATTTGCCCAAGCAAGCCATCTAAAACATTTCGTATCTTCTCCTTTCATTTTCAGAGAATTAACTAGTGTTTGGCCAAATGTGGGCAAAAATGACCAAGGGTAAATATTTCAAACTGTGTTAACCTGTCCTCCTTCAGCTGTTGAATCAATATGGCTTTTACAACAAAACAATAATTTTGTTGTTAAAGAAACCTAGTTGATAGATCTTGTTATTTTAAACCTAATGCAGATAAAATGTATAACTGGCCATGTCAGCAACTGGAAAAAAACAATAGTAGGTCTAGAGAGAGGTAGTGCGCTCCTCTTCATCTCAGTCATAATGCTTGTATATTCTTGCAAAGTCCATCTTGTTTACCAATGTTTGAGGAAGAAAAATATGATGTCCTGACCTAGTCTGGCCTAGACAGAAGTCCAGACCCACAACAAACCTTCAGTGCTCCGTGAGATGGCCCCGAATGATACCTCGTTGTCAAGATGGTGGTGCCTTGCCCTCCCGTCATGGGTATGTTGTGATTTTGCAGAATTATTTGGAGGGGAGTACTAGGAGTACGTTGGGGATCAGTTAGCTGGACAGCTGGTTTGAGATGCAGAGTGATGCCAACAATGTGGGTTCAATTCCCCCACTGACTGAGCTTATCATGAAGGTCCCATCTTCTCAAGCTCACCTCTCACCGGAGACCAAACTTATCACCAGTCATCTCTCTCTCTCTCTAATGCAGAGCAGTCCTATGGTCCAGTAGGACTATGGTGATTTTACTTACCAGTAAGAGATTTTTTTCGTTCTAAGATGTTGCACATCCCTAATAGCCCTTTAATTGAGTGGCTTGTTATGCTATTTTGGTGGGCACTTAGAAGTCAATCACATGCCTATGGGTCTCTAATGAGATGTAGCCAGATGAGGTAAAGCCAGCAGATTTCCTTCCCTAAAGGCCAACATCAAACCAGATGGAAACCGAAAGAACTGCAGATGCTGTCAATCAGAATCAGAAACAGAAGTTGCTGGAAAAGCTCAGCAGGTCTGGAGAGAGGCCAGAATTAATGTTTCAGGTCAAGTGATCCTTCCTCAGAAGGATTCTGTGATCTCTCTCCACAGATGCTGACAGACCTGCTGAGCCTACCAAACCAGATTTTTTTAAAAAAAAACACAATTGATAATGGTCTTACGGTCACAATTACTAAGTCTAGCTTCAAATTTCAGATTTTATTAATTGTATTTAAATTCCACCCACTGCCATAGTGGGATCCAAACGATGTCTCTAGACCATTAACCTGGGCTTCTGAATTACTGGTTCATTGATATTCCTAATGCTACATCCTCTCCCCAAAATAAAGGCCAGGACACCAGTTAGCTCTTCACTGCTCTTCAAACAGTGCCAGGGGGATCTTTTGCAATCATGTAAGAGATGACAGGAAATCCTTCCCTTGGTCCTGCACACCAATTATCAGCCTAGATTATATTTTTAAATCTCTTGAAAAGAGTCTTAAACACCCATGACTCTGAGACATAAATTTGAGTGAGAGTCATGGCTGCCCCTGGAAAAAGGACATTCCCTGTGTGAAGGATAGTAAGAACTACTGATGCTGGAGTCAGAGATAACAGTGTGGAGCTGGAGGAACACAGCAGGCCAGGCAGCATCAGAGGAGCAGGAAAGCCGACGT